TACACTTTTCCCAACGTTCCTGTCAGTTTTTTAACCCCCTCCCCAAGGAAAGGATTTGTCGAACTCTCCAAAATACGCCTCTGTCTCGGCGATGACTTCCTCGTTTGAGCTAAATTTTTTCCCCGCGAGCCACTTCTTCATCTCAGGGAACAAGAGTGCGGCAGCACTTCATAACGCAATTCATGCAGTTTGGCAACTCCGAATGAATGTGCTGGTACGTTATCGTGGTGAAACAGCACCTTCTTTTTCGTCAAATGTGGCCGTGTCTCCTTCAATTTTTTGTCGAAGCGGTCCAATAACTCATTATAGTATTGTCCCGAGATCGTTCTTACTTTGACTTGTCATAGTGCCTGCTACTATTTAACAGGGAAATAAATGGATTATTAATATTTTCGATGCTGCACGAAATTGACGGGTGGAATCGAGAAATGCTTTTATTATAATTTCCATGGCCATATTCCAATAGAATTTCATTATTGTCTGGTCGCTAAATGAAACCACATATAAACTAGTAATATCCTACTTTGTTCACTGGAGAGTAATGCCAGAATCTGCGGCATCCAGTGGCCACAGTGGAATACATTTCCAACAGACAGTTTGCTGTCTTCACTCTTGCAGTTGTCGATTCTGGTAATAGATCTCACTATGTGCTGTCTTATTTCGAAATCACATATATTTGAATCATTACTGACTTTTTCAAAGTAATGGGTGATTTTTTGCTAGTATCTTTTTGGCAACACTGTTTTTGACAGATGACGCGTGAATCGTGTCTTGTGTCATTGTCAAACTTGTTCAGTTTGGTCTATAATTTAACCATGAATCGACTTACGAACTAACAACGCTTGCAAATTATTGAATTTTACTATCAAAATTCATGCTCGGTTAAGAGAGTGCATCGAGCACTGTTTCCAATTTATGGGCAATTTGGTCGGCCTACTGAGGGAGCTATTCGGAAGCTTGTGACTAAATTTCGAACCCAGTTTACATTATTGGACATTGAACCACCAACACGCAGACGTAGAGTGAGGACTGAAGAAAATATTGCGGCTGTATCCGCCAGTGTTAGCGATGACCGTGAAATGTCGATTCGCCGCCGTTCGCAGCAATTGGGCCTCTGTTACTCCATTACGTGGAAAATTTTGCGACAGGATTTGGGTGTAAAACCTTATGTGCAAGAATTGAAGCCACACGACCTCCCACAACGTTTTCCATTTGGTGAATGGGCGCTGGCAAAGTTGGAGGAAGATCCACATTTTTATCGAAAAATTGTGTTCAGCGACGAAGCTCATTTCTGGTTGAATGGGTACGTTAACAAGCAAAAGTGCCGCATCTGGAGTGAAGACCAGCCAAAAGCATTGCAAGAGCTACCAATGCATCCCGAAAAAATCACTGTTTGGTGTGGATTATGGGCCGGTGGCATCATCGGGCGGTACTTCTTCAAAGACGACAATGGCCGGAACGTAACTGTGAATGGCGAGCGCTACCGTGCGATGATAACAAACTTTTTTTTGCCCAAAATGGAAGAGCTGGACTTGGCTGACATGTGGTTTCAACAAGACGGTGCCACATGCCACACCGCACACGAAACAATGGCCCTATTGAGAGGCGAGTTCGGTGAACAGTTTATCTCACGTTTGGGGCCCGTCAATTAGCCGCCTAGGTCGTGTGATTTAACGCCGTTGGACTATTTCTTGTGGGGCCATGTTAAGGCTAATGTCTACAGGGATAAACCAGCAACGATTGACGCACTGGAAGCCAATATTGAAGCATTTATTCGTGAGATACCGGCCGATATGTTGGAGAGAGTGTGCCAAAATTGGACCTTGCGCATGGGCCATCTAAAGCGGAGCCGCGGCCAACATTTACATGAAATAATCTTTAAACATTAATCGTTTTTTTCAATTTTTTTGTGTTTTTTTTGAAAATCAAATCCTATACCTCTTAAAAAATCACCCGTTACAAATGTCAATTACAGTGTATTTTACTTTCTTATTTTATATTTTTCCGATATCACTGGTTCAAGTCACCCTACCTATTTCTGTACCAAAGGTATGATTGAAAGAAGTGTGAACAAAAACAAAAAACACCGCTTAACTACAACCTACAACATTTATGGGCTGTAAAATTTTTACGATTTTTTTATTCGTCTCGCTGTGAATCTTACTTCCAGAGCAGAGCCGCCTCATATTTCAATGTTCTATAAATAGGTGGGTAGCTATCAGACAGGGCTACATTAACATAGTATTTTATCTTGATGTTTGACACTTATGGTAAAAATGTAACAAATACAAAAGAAATAATTATGTTAATTTGTACATGTAAATGTAAAAAACACTGTTAATATTTAATATGACAGAATTTACTCTAAAAGAATCTATACTAAGTGACATATAAATCCGAACACCCAGTTTAAATGGTTTTATTTTAATAAAAGTTGGTGAATGTATTTATCTTACTGTAAATAACAAGTGAAAAAATTTTCAGCCTTATCAGTTGGACATTCCGGTTTTTATATTGCTTTTTTTTAATTCACTAACGCTCTAAAAATGAATATTTCAGCCGCAGTAAAGAATCAACGTTGGCGGATTTTGGTTCTTGACATCCTTTACGATCGGTTACGATGCCTAGAGTACGGAGACCTGTACGATTTCGTCAACTTAGTGAGTTTGATAGGGGACATATAGTGGGACTTCGGGAAGCTGGACTTTCTTTTCGGGCAATTGCAGTTAGAGTGCAAAGAAGTGTAGATACTGTGGTTAGGTGTTGTCAGGCATGGCTTCGAGAAGACCGTACGCAAAGAGCAAGGGGCACTGGACGCCGCCGTAGAACAACAGACCGTGAAGATCGCCGCCTAAGATTATTGGCCTTAAGGGACCGTTTCTCCACTACCAGGTCCATTGCAAATGGATGGTTTGCAGAACACGGAAGACCTATTGGCATGCGAAGTGTTTACCGACGAATGAGAAGTTTTGGCTTGTTTTCATACCGGCCACACTGGGTCCTCCCTTTACCTCGAGAACACCGACGTAATCGCCTTGAGTGGTGCAGACAATGGTCACTCTGGGATCAGGAATGGAACAGTATTGTCTTTAGTGACGAGTCTCGATTTTGTTTAGGCATGCACGATGGTCGTGCCAGGGTTAGAAGGCGACGTGGTGAAAGGAGGAATCCACAGTTTTTTGTTGAAAGACATGTTCATCACACTGTTGGAGTTATGGTTTGGGGTGCTATAGCTTATGGTTCCAGGTCACCTTTAATCTTCATCAGAGGTAACATGAACGCGCAGCGTTATATCCACGAAGTTCTAGAACCCCATCTTTTACCCTATCTTGACACCCTGGCAGATCCAACTTTCCAACAAGATAATGCCCGACCGCATGTTGCAAGAGTCACAATAGACTTCTTTCAACATAATGATGTCACATTGTTACCATGGCCACCAAGATCTCCCGACTTATCCCCAATTGAGCACGTGTGGGATATGATGGGTAGGAGATTGCTCAATTTGCAACGTCCTCCTCAGACTCTAGAAGCACTTCGAGAGGAGTTGGTGGTTGCCTGGAATGAGATACCACAGGAGGACATTGACCACCTTATCAGAAGCATGCCTAGGCGCGTTGGAGAATGCGTAGCACATCAGGGTGCATCCACACATTATTAAAGGTCAAAGGGCTTTAAAGCAGTGCAATCATTTTGAAATTTTTATCATTTACTTATTATGCTTCATTAAGTACTTATACAAAATTTTATTAAAATAAAACCATTTAAACTGGGTGTTCGAATTTATATGTCACTTAGTATATTTGACAATAATCAAAGTGCAGTTTTGAAGACCAATTGATATAAATCATAAATGATAACGATGTTAAGGTTGTTCTGGCATAGCTTGGTATTGAAGTGACAATTAAAAAATGAATTCGGGAGTATCGATCACGAATCTGATGATAATTTCCTGTTCGATGGGAAGGTCAATTTTTTTACTCGCAATATATCTTTGCGAAACTTTAAGGTTCATTGACCGCCATATGCGAAAAAAGCATCTCAAATCATCCCAGTGTACGGAGGTACATCAGACGATAGTCCACATTTTACACTGATAAATTAACTTTAGGAAAGTTTAAAAGCATTTATTGAAAAAAAAAACGTACGTTTGGGTCCGTACATCTCAAATCTGGCGTTCTTCAGTGGGAATGACGCTAGGTCCAGATTAACCATGAAAAAATTGAGTTAATCGAATCATTTAAATAGTTGGGCATATACGTAGATAGTAAAGGGAACTATGAATATATTATTTCAAAAATATCCAGAAAGATAAATAACTTTTGCACCCTAAGCGTTTATTCTAAAAGATTGTTTTACACAATTTTTTTGTGAATTGTATTTTCGAAATTGCAAATATTACAAAATAAATCATCTCAAATTCAAATGAATATACTAGAATAAATTTTATGCTGAAATGTCTTTTAAGTTTTGCATATAGAAACATAGTAGGCCGCGCGAATCGAACGTCAGTACTGAATCTTAACCTCACTCTTTAGTAAACTTAAATTCAAAGTTTCACAACAATACGTGCAGTGTTCTGACTATAGTGAATTTTTAAGTGTCACCAAGTCATTAGAAAAATGTAACTCATCCGAGAAAATTTTCGCGGCATAATTTATTACAACTTTTAGAGACAATTATCGCAACAAGAATGCCTTGCTGAGTTACTGTCTGTTTTCGGCAACGAAGCGCCACATCAGTCGACAATTTTCCGTTGGTATTGAAAATTCAAACGTGGACGGCAGTCACCCAGGAAAACGTCGATGCTGTGCGCAAACTCATCATTGAAGATAGATAGAAATCAGTATTTCAAAAAGGATTGTATGAATTTAACAAATCAAGTAATGATATCTAGTTGTGTGCCAGTTTGAAAATGTTTAAAGGGAAATTAACAAAATATTTCATGGAAAACTAGAATTCATAGTAGTGAAATTTTGTATAAAAATACGTAGTCTTACCTTGATAAGTCCAAACTGTCCAAGATGGTAACCGTGGTCACTAGTGTACACGATGTAGGTGTTTTCAAGTTCCCCCAGGTCCCTCAGCTCGTTTACGACCCTTTCCACGGCAGCATCTACAGATTGGAGCGTCTGCAATCTCTTGGTCATCAGTAGGTTGGTGAATTGTCGATGTATGGGTTCCATGTTTCTCGTAACTTGGAGGATCCATTGCTTGTCTGGGTTCGGCGCGTGGTCATATGACGGGGTACTGAAATGAAAAAGAGAAAGATAAAATAAGAGTACGACAAAGTTAAACAATAGATAGGAGAAGTGGTCTTCGGTAGTTTCAGTGGATTTTTCTTGACCGTTTTTTGTTTTTGACTTCCTACAAATAAACTGGACAACAAATTTTAGTTTTTTAATTGTATCTTGTGGAAAAAACTGCACTTCTTTGTTAATTTTGGGGCGCTGAATCCAAAAATGACAATGAAATAAAAAAATTAGTTGCGGTTTAGAAAAAAACTTTTTATTTTTAAGGATATATTAAAAAAAGTAAAAAGATTCATATACTTATAAGAATCACTATATGGGCTGTCTTTTTGCTGTTCTTTTATGGATCGTTTCTGGAGCATCTCTACCAAGAGTCCAACAGTAGCCTGCAAGCATGGAAGGATTCCACTTTCCCTGTTACCTTTTTTCCATTGTTGAAATATCCTGATGAAAACGTTCGCTCTGCTTATCACTTACGGCTCCGCAATTGTCAGGAAAAAAGTCCAGGTGTGAGTGTAGGAAATGTATCTTAAGAGACATATTACAGCCCATCTTTTGATACGATGACAGCATATTTTTGACAAGGGTTTTATAGTTGTCAGCTTTTCTATTTCCCAAGAAATTAGTGCCTACCAGACGAAAATCATTCCAAGCAGTTTTGTCAATACCTGTTAAAGTGTTTTCAAACTGTGTATCTTTCAAAATATTTCGAATCTGTGGCCCAACAAAAATACCTTCTTTAAGCTTTGCCTCACTTAGTCTTGGAAATTTCTGACGCAGGTATTGAAAAGCTGACCCATCTCTATCTAAAGCCTTGACAAAGTTTTTCATTAGGCCCAACTTGATATGCAGTGGTGGTAATAAATTTTTTTTCGAATCTACTAATGGCATATGCTGTACATTTTTTTGACCTGGCTCTAGGAATAGACGAACAGGCCAGTTTTGTCTGGTGTAATGTAGTGCCTTTACTCGACTGTCCCATTCACACAAAAAACAGCAAAACTTTGTGTAGCCTAGCTGCAGCCCAAGTAAAAGTGCAACAACTTTCAAATCGCCACAAATATGCCATTGGTGCTCATCGTATTTTATGCATGTCAATAGGTACTTCATATTGTCATATGATTCTTTCATGTGAACTGCATACCCTACAGGAAGAGATGTTAAAATATTTCCAATATGCAATAACACTGCCTTTAAACTCAATGTTGAACTGTCTATAAACAATCTCCATTCTTCTGGTTTATAGTTTATATTTAAAGCCGCCAGTAAGCCGTTAATGTTACTGCAGAAAACCAAGTTATTCTCCATATTGAAAAATGGTTCTAAGTCTTTGTGGCGTTTACGAAAAACACATACCGAAATATCGTCTTCTAACAAGTTCCACTGCTGCAGTCTTGATCCAAGTAACTCTGCCTTACATTTTGGAAGTTCTAAATCTCTTACAAGATCATTTAATTCTGACTGTGTTATTTTGTGCGGTTGGTGGCATGACGTGCTCGGTATAAAATCAGGATCTCTTGACGTTGATGGCATATCTTCTTCCTGACGAATCACTCGATCGCCATGATCTGATTCGTTTTCTGATTCGCAAGTGTAGGATTCTGGGGGTTGTGGAATAGGATTTTCGTCACTGTGAGGCACAGGTCTCATCGAAGATGGTATGTTTGGGTAGTTAATAACCGATTTTTTTTCTTGGACATACCTGTGGCTTGTCCAACACAAGGTACCATGCAAAAGTAACAATCATTAATATGATTTGTAGGCTCTCTCCAAACCATTGGGGCAGCAAAGCGCATAGACCGTTTTTTGCCATTTAACCAGCTCCTCAGACTTGAAGCACATGTATTACAGCAGATGTGGGGGTGCCCACTGTTTGTCTTGATCACCTAGTTTACAACCGAAATAAAGCTGATATGCCTTTATTATTAGTGGAGTAATAGACCGTCTCTGAGACGCAAAAGTCACATCACCATACACGTAACAAAACTGATCTGGATTGTTTACACACTTTCGAGACATCTTGCATGATCGCTGTCAGCCAACTGAGGAAAAAATGGCTAATATAAAACAATATAATGTACAAGTATGTATAACGTAACACAATCATGCCGATTACATCATCTTTCCTTGCCGAATATAAAAATGTAGCACGTGCATTCTTGTGAATTACAGTATATTAACACAGCAGGAACACACATGATTACCGTATCTCTAAAACTTGAACTAATATTGAAAAAGAAGTTTCATTCCGGTTTTAGCACACTAAAAGTAGCAATATTTTGTTGATTTTATTTAGGATATTTTTGGCTGTTGATCAGTGATATCGCTATTTATCATTGTTGGATATACAGGGTGTTCCTTAATGATATGCGAATATTTAAGGGTGTGAATCTACATGGAAAATTAATGTTAGTTTGGTTCATAAACTATGGTCCAAAAATGTTTTCTTACAAAAACTCGGGGTGTTGAAGTTTTAGGAAAAACATGGAAATTAATTAATATTTTGAGAACCGCCTCAGATATTTCACTGATATTTAGTACGTAGTTAATAAAGATGCATACTTTTCAATGAAAAAATAATTTTTAGGTTTAACAGTGGCGTGCGTACGGGTATTGACTTCGATATTTTTTAAGAAAAAAATGGTACGCCAATGGTTTTTTGTCAATTAAAAATTATTTATCAATTCCCCGTTTAATTTAAAACAAATGATCTCTCTTGAATTGTTTTCCTTTGATGCGCCATTTTTGAGTAAAAAAATTAAAACCGTACTATTGTCTAGCTTGCCAAATTATTATTAATTTAATTGGAAAAATTAAACACATTAGGCGTAATGAACAACATCAACTGACAACATCAACATAACGAAATGATTACAAAAATTGTTTGAAAATAGCCCCCTCCACTTAGTATGCATGCTTCCGCCCTCCTCATGGAATTGCGCACTCGTTGAAATATCCCTGGAGTGTTTTTTATTCTATCACAAGCTGCAACTATTCTTTCTCTTAATTCCTCTACAGTGTTAATGGGACTTGTGTACACTAGTGTCTTAAGATAGCCCGACAAAAAGAAATCTAAACTGTTGAGGTCTGGGGACCTTGGTGGCCATTCTTGGGGCCCACCGCGGCCAATCCAACGACTTGGATAAACAGTTTGTAAATAATTACGAACCGCTTCACTGAAATATCCTGGTGCACCATCATGCATGTACCACATATTGTTTCTTATTACTAACGGAACATCAACAAGCAGCAAAGGCAAATGTTGTTGAAAAAAAATGAGGTTAAGTCTGTCCGTCAAGTCGTCCCGGCAAGAAGAATGGGCCAATAAAGTGGTTGCCAATAATTCCTGCCCATACGTTAACCGAAAATTGGTGTTGGAAATGGGTTTCGGTTAAGGCATAGAGATCCACTAAAATTCTCCAAACAGTTTGATGGCAAGTATTAAAGTGTCTAGCGATCTTCTTCGTACTCGTTTCAGGATATTCTTCGACTTTGTGCAGCACTGCTTCCTCAATTTCAGGTGTTCTAACACTTAAAGGTCTACCTTCAGATGTTCCTTTTCAGACAGAACCAGTTTCAACAAGACGACGATGAATATTAGAAAAGATTCGACTATCTGGCAAAGCACGATCGGGATATCTCTGGTGATAAATCCGTCTGGCTTGCTCACCATTACCGTCGGCAACGCCATATACGTAATGCATTTCCGCCACTCCTGCATTTGAATAATTCACCATTATTAACAATATTGTAAAAACTAAATAATGAAAAAGATGTCACAGCGAACAGATTTGAATAACAGAGACTTGTCAGATGTCAAAAGCCAGTGACATATTCCAGAGCAACTAGATATTTATTGCTAAATTGCATTCTTCAATTATTACGTTAATTTTTTCCGACAATAGAACGGTTTTTATTGTTTTACTCAAAAATGGCGCATTGAAGGAAAACAATTCAAGATAGATCATTTGTTTTAAATTGAACGGAGAATTAAAAAAACCATTGGCGTACCATTTTTTTCTTAAAAAATATCGAATTCAATACCCGTACGCACACCACTGTTAAAGCTAAAAATTATTGTTGCATTGAAAAATATGCAACTTCATTAACTTTCACTACGTACCAAATATCAGTGAAATATCTGAAGCGGTTCTGAGAATATTAATTTTTTCCTAAAACTCCAACACCCCGAGTTTATGTAAGGAAACATTTTTGGACCATAGTTTATTAATTTTGCATGTAGATTCATACTCTTAAATATTCGCATATCATTAAGGAACACCCTGTATAGTAATTTTTATCTCAGTGGGTTAAAACGTTTTAAAGCTATTTATACGTGTCCCTAAACTTTCAGATTGTTTTAAGATAAACCGAAGATTCAAATTAATATGTAATTGACAAAATTCCGCTTAGAAAGTTTCGAAATTCAAAGTACTTCGGGAGACGAAAAAAAAAAACGATTTTTCACAAAATCTCTTTAATTTTTTGTCTAGCTATTTGTAGTGGGATTTCAAAAAATGCACATCAACATTGTCACTTTTTCTCCTATAAAAGACATAATTCGAATTTCAATATGACGTTTATTTGTTATTATGGACGCCGTATTGCACAGATGAATAGAATTTTTAATTCTAATCCAAAAATTTTATAATACTTCATACATTTTTATTGCCAAGCCTTAGTTATTTCGAAAAAAGCAGAATTACCTAGTTAATTATCAGATAGATTGTTTAGCATACCAGATTTATCCCAAAATAATTTTTATTTTTTCGGACTTCGTATCTCGCTTGACGTTCCGAAGATTCCAATGGTGAGGGTCGAATTTGAAACACCCGGCATTTAAGTGGTCTTAAAGTAATTAAATTCGCCATGCTCCTATCTTTTTATCAGTGTATCGATTGAAACCGAATATGTTACCACCATTGGTGCGCCACCTCTTCCTCTTTCCTGTTCAGATACCGTCATCTTTTTAAGCAAAATGGTTCTTACTCCTATACC